CTCGAATATTTATCTTTATTGCTTATATTTAAACTTTTTACCTTTTTTTGTTTTTTATTTCCTACTATTGATAACAAACGTAATAATTAAGTAAGATAAAGAATATATTGCTTTTTAAATGACTTTAATAATTTCTTTAAATATTTACCAGTTTCTTGGAAACATTCATAAGCATAATATTTTGTTTTTCTTCCCGTGATATTAGAAGATAATTTTTCCCGCAATTGTTGTGTCTGTATCAATGTTCTACTAATATCTGCAGCAATTTCTTGAACTTCATCTTTGGACTTTTAAATAGAAAAAAAATTAACATAATTTTGATATAAAAAATTATATAAAACAACTATATTATAACGGCCTTACTTCGACACAAGTACAAATATCTTTATTAACTTCTTGTTGAGAATGTATTCCCGTGTACCATGGTTTTAAACAATACATTGCTTCATCACAATTTGATTTTAATACATTCTTTACTTCTTCTGTAAGTACCAAGGTTTGATGTAAAAATTTAGTCAGTTTCGAAAAATTAAACGAGTCTTCCATTGTTATTTTCAAATCTTGCTGTTTCTAACAAACAAAGATAAAAATCGGTGAATAAAAATTCAATTAACATATCAGTTACATAAGATAGATTACAGATTAAGAATAGTATAAAAGAGAATAAAAAAGTGATATATCACTCAAAGTGTTAACTGGTTTTCTTATGTACTAAAATACCGTGTAGATACAATATATTTATGATATATTTTACAATTCTTTCTAATACATGTGTTACCTTCTTTAACATATTATTAAGTAAAACAGATATTGTGATTTAATGGATTTATTTGTGGAAATGAGATGAAGGTAAATATATATATAATTCATTTTATAAAATTTTTACTTAACTAAACTCAGAAAAACATTAAAATCGTTTCTACCTTAAATGTTCATAAAACCGTTATAGTTTTATAAATACTGTGAATGGAAATGTATTTATTAACGATAAATTTTGATAATATGATCATTTAAAATAGCTACCCTACTGTATTAAAGATATTTTTTAATATGCGTTTAATGTACGAACGCGTATGTGTGTTTACTTAATAAAAAACAAAGTTTTCTTATAAAAATAAAACACGATTTACGATTTTGCGGAAACCTTAGCTTAATGATTTTTCATATGTCATGTCCTTCATACATCAACATCACAAGATAAAGGTATTGTATCTAAATATTATAATTCTCAAAGGGCAAAGTTACAAAAAAATATAAGAACGATACCAATGACGTATTTGCCCTAATTGTGAAGAATGTTTTGACGTACAGTTCATTTTCATATCAGACATTCAGACAAAATATATTTTAAACCTAAAACGTACAAAATAAATTGCTTTATCTATATATGCAATTTATCACATTAGAAATTCAGTCAGATACAGTATATATTGTAATTGAAATATGCCAATCATATATTTATGTTTATATACATACATATATATGTAAATGTATATGCATATATATAAACATATGGAAAATTGTAAATAAATTTTTAGCAATTAATTATATAATTTGAAAGAACTTGACTCATAAATTTAAGTAGAAATGAATGATTAAGAAGTCTTCTATAAATTAATATCTTTCAAGCAGAATTACAAAGTTTATAAACAGTAGTTATGAGAAATTATTAAATTTGCTCTTTTATAATGATATATATCTATAATTCATCTTTTCTTGGCACATCATCATCTTCATCTTCTTCTTGAGCCTGTAAAAATGACGTAAAATCAATTATAATCTTATATTATTACAATACAATTAAAATGAATTAAAAGTTTTTACGAACTTCTTCTGGGGCTTGACCATAAGTACCATCAGAATCAATGAACTTAGAAAGTCCTTGAAGTGTTCTTTCACCTTTGTATGATGCAGCCTAAAATTTATTCAATTTAGGATGCTTATATATGTTAAGATTGTTATAAACATTAAAATATTAATAAATCTGAAATCGTTACTTCATTTGTTTCTTTTTTGTAGAGAGTAATCGTAGGATAATTAACAATTCTTATATCTTCTAATTCATTTTCAGTAGCATCCATTTTTGCTATAACTAAATCTTCATTGTCTTTATATTTTTCTGCAAGCTAGAAATGTATCACATTATATTTAAACATTTGTTAAAACATTTTATAAGTTGCAAAAGTGAAAAATATGTAAATGAAACATACTGCTTCATATATAGGAGCTAATTGTTGGCAGTGTCCACACCATGGAGCATAAAATTCAACTAAAACGTTCTTCGTTTTATCAAAAGCAACTTCATGGAAGTTAGTACCAACAAGAACTTTTACAGGTTTCTTATTCCAGTCTTCAGGTAAATCTTGTGTAAGCAAATGTTTTTTCAATTTGCCTTCAACAAATGCAGTTACAAATTCCAAAACATTTTCACTAGATAATTCTGGGTTTTCTGGCTTGTACTTAGCCATATTCTGTTCAAGTTGTATAATACGCATAGCAGGTACTTCATTTTTCTTCATACCAAAGAATTCTAAAATGCGTTCATGATCAGCTTTATCAGCATTAATTGTTACAAACAAAACCTGTACAATATCATAAAATATTATTATTATGATGATACTATTTATTATATACATTACTTTATATCTACATTATTTATATTTGTACATACCTCTTTACGGAATTTCTTTGCTGGTTCTTTAATCTTTTCTACATATTCTTCAAAATGACCAGCTTCTTCACTAAGGAAGACAAGCAGATGGCTTTTAATATCACCACTAAATATCTTTTGTGCAGTATCTTGATTAAAATCAACAACTAAAGGCAATGCATGTATAGAGATAAAGTTTTGTAATTTTTTAACATCAAGTTCGTCATTAAATTCACTCCTGCCTTCATCGAACTAAAACAAATATTAAATGACATATATGATATTATTAACATATCTATAAAGAAAAATAGAATAAATTAAAATTAATGTACCTTCTTAAACAAAACAACTTTACCATCTTCTACTCCATATTCACTGAAAACTTCTTCATTACTACTTATACCAAATACATGATCATCAACAGCATTAGCAACTTCTAAAAATACTTTTGCACCATCTGATTCTGCATCCTAATTAACATAATTAAATGCATATATACATTTTGCGTTTTATAATACAATTAACAAAGATTTCAAACAAATATATTGTTATTTTAATAATACCTTAAAGAACCCAACAATGGCAACATTTCGTGCCTCGATAAATGATTTAGCTTCTTCAACTGTTGGCAAATCTTTAGCAGCTGGACCAGTCTTTTTTATTACCCAGTTAATAATATCATCTGCTTGACGACCACCACTGTAATCAATAGCTGAACCTTTACGATAAAATTTAAGGGTAGGATATGCACGAACTCCATGCTTCTCAGCTAATTCTGTTTCAACAGTTGCATCAACTTTAGCTAATTTTACAGAGAAACCACCCTCCTCTAACTTTTTGGCTGCTTTAGCATATTCAGGTGCTAAAGCTTTACAATGTCCACACCATGGTGCATCTAAATATTAAAAATCATAAAAAATTATTAATGTAACTATAATATGTTTCTGTGACATAATTATGCAATTAATTATTATGTTAAAAAGTCATCACTATATTATAAAATTGTAATTTAAAAATTGAACAAGTATAGTAATAACAGAATATAGATCACAATTTAAAGCACATACAAAAGATTTATCCATATATTAAATTTAATTATTCAAAATATTAAATAAACTTTTATATATTTTATCGTAACTTGTACATCCTTTACTTATATATTTATTTAACCAAACTAAATATCGATGGCTTATTGCACATATACTATATTGTATTTATCTTTATCAATGCTATTATCAAATTGGTTGCAAATTGTGGATTGATCTCTTTTAGGAACATAAAATGACAAAAGTGAGTACTAAATGGTTAAGAACTATTTGTTACATATAAAATTCAAATTCCACAGAAAGTGGATATGCAATATTTGTGCAGTAAGCCATCAATATGGAGTATACATATATTTTTTAATAGGATTATGAATATAATTCTAAATGAATCGCACGATATTCGTGACATAAAATAAATAATTTCATATATTTTATATATTTTATATATATAAATTTTATATATAATTTTTATATATAAATTTTATATATAAAAGTTTTTCACTCATATCATATATTCATTTCATTCGACAAACATTCCATCATATATTATGAAATAAAAATGAAATAATGTCAACAAGTGTGCTCGATCTTAAAAACCGGCTCCTAAATGGTGACGTGTAAGAACCAAGCATCTGGATCAGCTTCAATTATATTTTAAATGCATAAAAATATCAAATAAAATAAATATTACAATTTTTCATTAAATATAATTAAGAAACCTGTTTAAAAAGAAAATGTAAAACTACTACTCACAAAATTCAACAAGCACGTAATCATTTTGTCCGATAGCTTCTGCGATATTATCTTTTGTAAGTACCAAAACCGAGTCTTCAGTTTCAATTTTCGCAAAAGTAAAAGTAAGGTAACAAGTCACTGTAAATATTAACGCAAAGAACTTCATCTTTAAATGGAGACAATGTTATTTTCTGATAAGTTATGCCACGACAGATATAAATACAGCAAATACGGTGAGTCTACCGTTACAATATTAAGATTATAGTCACCGACAGCATTCGTTGAAGAATACGGACAAAGTGATCAAATACAGTGATGCAGAGAACTATACAGTTGGTAGATCGTGGTTAATGCGTGGCATCAGCATCACATTCATCGTGGGAGTTGCTGATTGGTCGACGCAAAAGTTCAAGAATCCGGTAGGATGTTAATGTTAAGATTACTATACAAGGGTTAGGATATCAATTTATTTTTTAATCATACTATTTTATCACTTCACAGAGAAGATAAATATATTTTGCGTTCTATTTTAATATAAATTCAAATTTACGATTATTTTTTTGCTTTTTCAATATATTATATATATAATTATTATAATATCATACTATTAAGTATGAAGGAAACAGAGTACTTATTTGTTTCTGTTACTCCGAATTCCAAATATCGTTCTATTTCTAATAATAATGTCATGGCTTACAAAACTAATAACAGATTCTAATGATGTATATTTACATAAAAAATATGTAACCACTAGTTAATAAAAAAGTATTTTAATATTTAATATGTATTTTTATTATAATAATCTGCCAAGGTAATATATATGTGAAATATCTTCTTTACTCTTGCTAAAAAATTTATTAAAAATTTCATTTTACTTTACATTTTTGTCATTGGTATGCATTTATCCAATTTCAAAAGGTTGAAATATCAATCCCTTTGTAAAATATTTAAATTCAAATATATATAACAATTAAAATTTAAATCTCTATTTATTGTATATATATGTAAAAAGCAAATATTTTACTATATTTATTTTCAGTAAAATATTTAAATAAAGAAAAATTATTCATAATGTTTTTTATGTAATGTAATAAGTTTTGTACATCGTAACAAATACAATATTTTTCCTCCTATAAATAAATTATAACGTTAATTTCACAATCTATTTTTTATTTTTCAATTTCAAAAAGCTTAATAATATAAAATATCTGAATTGTTCATATTAAATAAAAGTTTCAAAATACGTTTAGTAATTTATTATATTTTTATTACAAAAATCATATTATAGTATCGTGGAAATTATTAGTATGGTGGAATTATTTGGCAACTCTCGTCACAACGAATTTAACACTCTCTGTCTGTCTGTCTGTCTCTCTCTCTCTCTCTCTC